TTCATCAGTGTGCATTTCAGTGTCTTGCTTCTCTTCAAGTTCTCTAAAGGTTTTAAATCATTTATTATTTAGAATCTGATCCTGGGAGTGCAAAAGTTTGGTAGAGGGCCTCTACTCCTTATATTAATCACTATTCTTATCTGTATGGTTTTTTTTCACTATTTGAATACATGATGATATTTATAAAACTTTCATTATGTTAAGTGTTAGTTTTTAGTTATTTTTACAGTATTACAATTAGCTAAGTCATTGTGCTTGGAAAAATGGCATGAATGATGGCTCAATCCTGTATTTTTCACTGAAATCAGTGTAAAACTCCCACTGGCTTTAGTAGAAAAGAGATTCTACACACATACATTTTCTTTCTCTAGCAGTTAGCTCTGTGAAGATAAAACTTATGCATGTCTTTTCTATTCAAACCAGATAAAATAATATAGCTATTAGATCCATCTTTATCCAGTCTATGGCTTGATACTGTATTAACTATTAATAAATGCTATAAAACATAATTATCTTCACCAGAACCCATTCCCCCTTCTGGCAGCTGAATCTTCATGGGAGGTCATAGATGATCCACTCCTCCTCCACCTGCCAGGATCCTGCAGGAAAGTCCAGGACACCCTTCTCTCACCTGTGGCACCAAGATTTCTTCCTCTGACCGGCTCCCTGTCTGGGTCAGCACCTGTTTTCTGAGAAACGGATCTTTTTTCGCCAGGTAGCAGGCAGGGCATTGGTTTGGGGTTGGAAATTTGGGGAAAGAGAGCTTGTGTTTTGACTATATTTGAGGACAGCTGTGTCTTTTTCTCCCTGCTTCAGTATATATTTTTCAACACAGATTAGTAATTATTACTCCTTTTATTTCTTTTTGAAGGACTATTTTTTTGAAGTGGAATAACACTGAAGAAAGCAGTGCTGTGTCTGCAACTAACAAATGAGCAATGTTTCTGAGAGCATAATTAAGGTATTGTTGTACCATAGCCGTAACATTTCACCAGAGGTAATTGCTAGATACAGTAACACTGGGTCACTTTCCAGTCCATTCCTCATCTGTTTTCAGATGTTTGCAAAGAGTAAGTAAAAAAAACGCCAAGCAAACTATGTATATACCTTATTTGATACACGTTTACAAACAATAAAATAGGATTCATTTAATGTTTAAATGATAAATAAATTTGAAAAATGACTTAAAATTTAAACTGAAGATGGTTCTTGAGAGACTCGAATATATTATACCAGGACAAAATCTGGTCCCTGCCAGAACATATGACTTGCCATATTAGATCAGACTAGCGGTTCATTTAGTGCAGTATCTGACATTAAGTTGCTTTAGAGAAAATTACGTGATTTAGTACTGGAGACAGTTATGGATTTAACCTGCTTACAAGGACTTTTTCATCCTAACTCCTCTCTTGTAGAAGTTATTTAGTCCTTGTAGAATTTTTAAAAAATTTTTTGCTATTGTAACCATATCTTGATCTGTATAAATGTCAAGGTCATTTGAATTAAGGCATTCCATGGACAAATAGTATATTTGTCCATGGAATGGACATTAGTATAAAAAAACCTTTTTTATCCGTTTTAAGTCTTCTCACTTCAAAGACTTTGTATTGCGAGAGAGAATAAATGAATGGTTTGATTTGGTACCCTCATATTAATAATTACTTAGTATCACTGTCTCTTATTTTTCTCCTCAAAAGTAAATAGCCTCCATCTTATCTAGTGGTATATTTTTAACATATATTGGGGCAGCACACAGAGCCTCAGTTAAAAAATAATCATGCAGCATTAATTTAGGGCAGAGTTTCCTTTTGGAAAAGGACTATCTAAGAATAATACCTTACTTAATAGAGTTATTCCCTGTGTGTATTCAGGTTGTAACTTGCTGGCTTTGGCTACTGTTAGAGAACCAGAACAGCTTGGAGGGAATAAGCAGGATTCTGTTAATTCTTGTACATCATCAGTAGAATTAGTGACTGAATTCCAATCAGTTACAGCTCTGCAGACATATTGAGGCAAAGTACAAACTGTTTAGAGGAAAAATGACTACAAGAAGCAATAAAAATGGCTAGATGGACTGACTTCTGAGAGAGCGAAGAGCCTCACCTCACAGGAAAAGACCTTAATGGAGTGAAATACATGTCGTGAAAGTATGTGATGACTGAGGGAGATGAGAGAACCACTTTCTACAAATATGTTAAAAATATAAAGGAGAGAAAATAGTTATTAAGGTGATATACAATTGAATTTTGTTACCTAAGAATTTTGAGATGGAATTTAGAAAGGGAAGATTACTAAGTCTGTAAGATGCATTAGCCTATAGACTAATTGACTTTTAATGGCACTAATTGAAATTCTGTCTCCCAATTTGTTCAGAATGAAAAAAGCCCTACTAGAAATGCGCTCCAGGAAGGCCATGGGCAGGGAGACAGGCTATAGGTCTTTCACATTCAAGCTACTATGCAGTTAGTTTAATGAGAAATTAATTCTTTAACCAGTTCATTTACTGACCTCTGGAAACTATGATTAAACTTTTCCCTTAGACCTCTTCAGACTTTAGGGAGCTTTGTCATGTGAATACAATACATATTGATGGCTTTTCTGATAAGGAGAATACAGTTGATAAATACAGGAAGGTTGCATGAGAAGACTCCCTGGCTACTAGTATTTCTGATGGACTCCAGTCTCTTCTGTTACCTGTGTCTCTTATGAACTTGAATCTGGTCTCCTGAACTCTTACATTGCACTTTATTGTGATACACAATATAAAGAAGGATTGGGTGTTGGGTGAAAAATTAGCCCAGTCTAGAATATTGGGAACCTCGCTGACACTTACTTTAGCTTCCTATATAACAGCACTTGTTGTTAAAGAACCTGTTGATGAGGTTTTTGTGGAAGAAAAATGTCGCTTGCTATTAGTCCAGATCATTATTATATCACTCCTTGGCAACAGCAGACTCAGAGTACGACTCTTCAGTTAGATGATAATTTATACTGTAATCCAAATGCACTTCCAATTTCTTAAATTCTGGGGTCTCTCTTTTCACACACAGACTTCTAGATCAGATCAAAGCCCTACAACTGCTATTCTAGTACTCTACAAAGATGTAAACTTACAGATTCTCTTTTAATATTCTGGAATTTCGTTCACTGGAGAGTGTGAAGAAATGGCTGATTAGATATCTGTCTGGGTGGTTTAAGAACAAGAAAGCCTCTATCTGTCTGTGCATTTAGTTTAAATCTGTGGTCCCTGATTTTTTCAGCATGCGGGGTGGATGGATTCCAGGTCCATCTGTGGGTTGGATCCAGTCTGTGGGCCCAGTGCGGTGTTTAGTGTTGCCCCCGCCAAGACTCGATGCAGCTGCCTTGGGTTGTGGTCCAGCTGTTCCTGTACTGGGCCCTGGACAGGCCATTTCCCTGCAGCTGGATTGGGTCACAGCTCAATCCAACTGAGCAGGAATGGGCCTAATCCCTCCACGCAGGGCTAGTGGGCTAATCTAGTTGCATGTGGCTTAAATTTGCGGTGTTAATCACTATTGCTCCCCCACCACGGAATTGCCTGACTGGTGGGGAAAACCTTGGGCCAGATTATGCGGCTCTACAGGCCAGACCTGGCCTGTGAGCTGCGGCTTAAGTACCACTGGTCTAAATGACCCTTGAAGTCCTGTTCAACATAGTGGAGAGAGGAGGTCTCAGGAGCTACCTTACTGAGGGGGCAGGCAGCCCAACTTTCTGATCCATAGGTGTCCTAGGCTGTAGCAGGAAAGCTTGTGGGTGTCTGGAAAAGCAACTTTTTTTTTTTTTTTTTTAAACACTTGAGGCACCTCTCTTTAGCCTCAGAACACGCCAGCTGTTTATAGATTTCATAGACATTAGGGCTGGAAGGGACCTCGGAAGATCATTGAGTCCAGCCCCCCCGCCCAAAGGGCAGGAAGTCAGCTGGGGTCATAGGATCTCAGCAAGATAAGCATCCAATTTGCTCTTGAAGGTGTTCAATGTATGTGCTTGAACCATCTCCGATGGCAGGCTGTTCCAGACCTCGGGGGCTCGGACAGTAAAGAAATTCTTCTTTATGTCCAGCCTGAAACGGTCTTGCAGTAGTTTATGACCGTTCAACCTCGTCATCCCTTGGGGCGCTCTGGTGAACAAATGTTCCCCCAGCTACTGGTGGTCACCCCTGATAAACTTGTAGGTGGCCATCAGATCACCCCTGAGCCTGCGCTTTTCCAGGCTAAAGAGCCTCATGACTCTTAGCCTGTCGTCGTAAGGTCTGCTTTCCTGCCCTCTCATCATGCGCGTGGCTCTTCTCTGGACTCTCTCAAGCTTCTCCACATCCTTTTTGAATTGTGGGGCCCAAAACTGGATGCAGTACTCCAGCTGCGGCCTCACCAAGGCTGAGTACAAGGGGAGAATGACATCCCAGGATTTGCTTGAGAAGCATCTATGGATGTAAGCCAGCGTTTTGGTTGCTTTACTAGCCTCAGCATTGCATTGCAGGCTCATGTTCATCTCGTGGTCAATGATGACCCCCAAGTCTCTTTTTTCCGTAGTGCTTAGTTATCACTTCTTGTTTTTTCAAGGCTGGAAAAGTCCTGGATCTGTTTTCCTGCAATCAAGAGCTTAGAGAGACAACGGGGCGGATTCCCATTTGAAATCCTTGGGTTTTTATCATGCAACTTATACGTTTGTGCACCTGACGGAGGCTGGGGCAGCCTTGAGCCGCTCTCGAGGCACCCCAGGGTGCCACTGCACGGCTCCCTGCCTGGGAATCGCTGCCCTACAAGCGGTGTTTGGGCTCAGGGTGACTTCACACCCCACGTTGCAAGGGTGGAAAGCCTTGCCCCCAGGATTCAGCAGCGTGCCCCTCTTCCCACTCCTAACCCCTAGAGCTGGGGACTGCGCCCAGGGAGGGCGCACTGGCGCGCGGGGCCTGCCGGGAGTGGTAGTTCCTCCCGCCTTCCGTGTTCCGTTCTCCTGGCGCGTCGCGACGCGCAGTAAAGCGCGGCCGGCTTCCGGCGGGGGCTGACGGGAGGGTGCGGAGCCTCGTGCGAGGGAGCGGGGAGCCGTGGATGCCCGTGCCGCGCTCCGCGGACCTGCCGCCCCCTCCGGCCGGCATCCAGCGCCCGCAGGATGTTCAAGAAGTGAGTGCGGCCGCACGGGGTGGGGGAGGCGGTGGCCTAGCGGGAGGAGGAGGCCCGGGCCCGGGGAGAAGGCCGTGTACGCGGGCCCCGGAGCGGTGACAGCCTTCCCTGGCCTCGAGAGGGTCATGCGCTTCTCTAGGGATGATTTTTTCCCACCCCCCTTGGTGACCCCTGCTGAGGGCACTGCAGCCTCGGGTGGGCAGACGGCGCAGGCAGGACAGCTGTTGGCTTCGGGGAGCAGGATCCGTCTCACCACACTGGCCCCTGCGCCTCAGTGCCCTGGGGACCAGCTGCGGTGGGAGGGGCGCCCGCTCCCAGCTGGTGTGAAGACTGTGCTGTGTCCCTTAGCTCGGGGGGTCTCAACCTTTTTGGCACCAGGACCCATTTGTCAACATGGCCAGGCAGTCCCGACTCCATGCCCCTTGCTCCTGACCCGCTGCCCTCCAGTGTGTGTGGGGCAGGGCGGCCCAAGCAGCCCCTTGTTGGCTGGGGCTGTACCAGGCTGCAAGGGAAAAGCTGTGGTTTCCTTTTTTTTTCTTTTAAAGGAGAATCCATTTTTAAAGCTTGTTCCCGACCCTTTCGTAGATTCTTGCAGCCCACTTTTGGGTCACGACCCACGGGTTGAGAAAAGCCGCCTCGACTGCTGGCGTGCTCTGGATTGGTGTCTAGAGCTAACTGGGCTGCCTTGAGATCTTTTGAAGGGTCCTGCAGGAGGTGCAAGGAGATAAGCAGATAACAGCAGGCTTGGGCTGTCCCCAGCCCCTGATATCCGGCCTCTCTGCAAAGAGATCAGCACTCATAAATAGATTTGTTTTTGAAATGGGGTGCAGCCGAATTCACAGAGCTTGTGAAGGGGTGCTCTGAGTCTAACAAGGTATGCAGTCAGTCTGAAAAGGTTGAGAACCACTCCTGCAGATTGTAGGGTGGCTATAGTATAAATGCAGCATTTGGTCTATGTAACGTTTTTCATGTGAGGGCATACCCCGGTACTGGAAAAATGCTGTGTACTTACTTACTTACTGGAAGTATGGGCTTTAATGAACTCAGTGTCAACATACTCATTGGCTATTGAGAGTAGCCTGTGCCAAATTTTTTGGAGCTCATTAAGACTGCTTACCTTGTTTTGCAGGGTGCTTTAGGCCTCTAATAACTGCTTTGAGATTGGAAGGTCCTAGTCAGTTTAGAGCTGCTTTGGGAAGCCTGGAGGTCTAGTTAGCTTCACTCATGATATAGTTAATTGTACAATGATGTCACAGAATAGAGGGCAGGACTGAATGATGCACTATCAGCTATGTGGAGAAACGGGTATTTATCATAATTTAACAAGTTGGGACTGGTATTATGTTAAGCTAATCATCGATAGAGATTTTGGGGGCCGATACTGATAGCCTATATTTATGGAGGCATATCGGCCAATACCGATCTGATTTCTGATACAGCTGCATTGAGCAGGTAAGTCTGTTATGGTGGAAGGGTGGGGGGGCAGATCAATGCCCCCTATGGTGAGTGGGGCAGGGGAAGACGCTGCCCAGCTGGGTGGGGTGTGGGGTGGAGCTGCGGCTTGTGCTGGGGGGGCGGCGGCTCCTGCCACTGTGCAACCTGGGAGGGCACAGGCAGGGGGGTGATGTGCGTGGGATGGGGCGGGTGGGTCTTTTTTGACTTGGAGGGATGTGGGCAGTGGGTTTCCACAGGGCTCGGTCCTCGGGCCTGCACTGTTAAACATC